TACTGGCTACTCATCATTCATGGCCCATCAAGAATCATCATCTAACCATCAAAATCCTCTGAGCCACCTCAGAAAGTGTGTGTGTGTGTGTGTGCATGCGTGTGTGTGTGTGTAAAGTCGCAGGCAACTTATAGTGACCCTGTAGGATTTCCAAGGCAAGAGACATTCAGAGGTGGTTCTGCCATTGCCTGTCTCTGCGTAGCAACCCTGGGCTTCCTTGGTGGTCTCCCATCCAAACACTAACCAGGGCCGACCCTGCTTAGCTTCCTGGCTCTAACGAGATCACGCTATCAGGGCCAATCAGATCAGGGTCACCTCCATGCACTGGTAGATAAATCAACTGAGCAGCAGTGTCCATTAGCCATGAATTGAGCTATAGAGAAGATGGACACCTCTTCACCCGACACAGCACGACCCAGATGCATCGAATCAAAACTGCCCCTACCTTCTAGAGAAGCTGCCAGGCCGAGAAGGCAGGCCACCCACAGCCAAACGATTCCCATGGCTCTTCTCTTCATCCTTACGGTGCTGCTAGGGTCCAAGTCGCTTCTCGAGAAGTCCCACCATCTTCTGTACGTCACAGTGACCTCAGCTGGCGTCCTGTTGGACAAGAAGGATGTAGAATCTTCATGTGCCGAGCACAGGGAAATCCACATGAAAGGAGGCACTGGAGGGAGACAAAAAACAAATAACTGAAGGGAAAAATACATTGTGTCAATTGCCACCCAAATGGTCCTCGGCACTTCACCCTGAAATATTCTCCCAACTGGGGTCTCCAAGTAACACTCCAAAGCACTACAAAAGCTCCAGACACAGCCACTGGAGAGCTGCAGCGTGCTAACGTGTCACAATTTCTTCTTTTAAAAATCCACACTACCTGCTAGTAAATCATCCTGCTGGAAACACACGGTGTTATTATTTGGTGTAATACTCAATTCGATTCCAACCTTTACTCCGTTGGTTCTAATGCCTATATCTTCCCCTCCTTCTTATCCCTTCCCTCCCAACTGAACGAGGCACAATTCAGAGGTTCTCTTGCACGTGCCCCACTGAAATGAACTCAGCTCTCCTATCTGTGTTGATCTTGTTAATCATTTGCTCAGTTTACTTTCCCGCGAAAGGACAAAGGGAAAGACCTATTCCCACGGCGCGCCGGTTTTCCTTGTTATCGCCTTGTCCAGAGGAGCTCTTGCCGGCCAGAGCACTGACTCATCAGGTGCAAGCTTTGAAAACCGGTGCAAAGTCCACCTGTTTGATCCTTTGCAGTCTGACTGGTGGTGGGCTCTGTTTGCTAAAGGTCCACTGAATGTGACCCACCAGCCTTTCACCTGAAGGCCAGACAATGGATTTCTAGAAGAGACATGCTGCCGGCTGGCGCTTCATTGAGGAGCTAGCACAGCCCGGCAGGCAAGACCCAACATAACCTTGCTGAAGTTTGGAGGGAGAAGGGGACAGAGGGGAGATACATCCTGGGAGATTGTAATTGGCTCTTTTCATAAGGGGAGATGCACATATTGCCCACACACACACTTAGGACCTTCAGCATCTACCCGGAGAAGGAAGAAATCTCATTCGGATGTGCATGATTATGATGAACCATAGAACAGGAGCCACAAAAACACTCAAATGTCCCCACCCCTGCAGCAAATGCCCCCCCCCCTGCAGTGGGGGGGGGGGCTATTTCCTGGTTGCTCAGCCTATGGAAGCGCTTCTCTAATCAGAATTATGTCAGAGTCATGTGATGTTGAGTTATGCAATTGGAACCCCCGTTGTGTTTCTAGCCCCCCAAAGCAGTTGTGGGGGGTTTCCAGTATGGAATCAGGTCTATGGGGCTGGAGAGGAGGAAGTTAAGTCTCCCTTGCTCCCAGGGCTCTTTTTGTAGATAAAGCCCAGCAGGAACCCGTTATCATAATAGGCCACACCCAACAGCAGAAACTCATTCGCATATTAGGCCACACCCATTACAGCACAGCTCATTGGCATATTAGGCCACACCCTCATGTTACCAGAAGTGGGCTCATCCAGCCACACCCACATTTTGCTTCTTATTCTGTTTACCCAGGGCTTTTTTGTAGCAGGAACTCCTTTGCCACACACTTCTAATGTAGCCAATCCTAATGTGTTTCTGCTCTTGGGTGTGGCCTATTATGCTAATGAGTTCCTGCTGGGCGCGGCCAACTTGGAAGCCAGCCGGAACTCCGTTCCTATGCGTTCCTGCCCAAAAATAGCCCTGCTTGCTCCCAAGTTAATGTTCCTCCAAATGAAAGCACCTCCACCCTCACCACCTGTGCTGCTTTATTAAATCACATCAAGGAGGAAAGACAGGAATGAAACGGGTGCCTGTTTTTTTTTCCTTTCTCCAAGCTAGAAGCAGTCTGGAAGGGCAGATCTTCAATAAGAGTTAACAGCCTCCACTGGCAACCCGCTCCTCTCAACTCTATCTGGAGTCCTTCACTGCAGTCCTATACAGATTTACACCATTGGTAACAGTAGATTTAGAAGAGAGTAACTTTGCTCAGGATTGCACATGTCCTCTTTTAACCTTGGGGATGACTAACCTGTTTCTCTGTACCCTTTGGAGGGGGGTTGTGTTCAATGTATATTCAGGTGTGTAAATGGAAATTTACACACCTAAATAAGTACTATGGAAATGAGGCAAATGCATTGGCATTGAGCCACAACTGATCCTAGCTCCCAGAAACATGTGCCTGTAAGACACAGGAGGCAGGAAGTATTCTATAGCTTTATGAGTATGCCGTTACATTTTGTTACTCATGAAAGGATTTAGGGTTGCCAATCCCCAGTTGGGGGCGGGGGATCCCCTGGTATAGAGCCCCTCCCCCCACTTCAGGGCTATCAGAAAGTGGGGGGGGATGGTCGCTGGGCATTCCATTATACCCTATGGAGACTGGCCCCCATAGGGTATAATGGTGAATCGATCTGTAGGTATCGGGGGCTCAGGGAGTCTGTTTTTTGAGGTAAAGGCACCAAATTTTCAGCATAGCTGCTGGTGCCTCTCCTCAGAAAAACCCCTTCAAGTTTCAAAAAGACTGGACCAGGGGGTCCAATTCTGTGTGCCCCCCATCCTCCATTGTTTCCAATGGAGGGAAGGCATTTAAAAGGAACACGCTCATTTTAAAGGTGACGGCCAGCTCACCTGGAACTTGCTTCAGGGTTTAATTGCACTTCTTTCCTCCCCTCTCCCGGAGCCTCCTGGGAAGTCCCCACAGGCTTGTCAGCCTCACCTGGCAACCCTAGCTTCTATCACCCCATTGACTTAAAAAACTGAACAGAATTAGGTCTCATCCAGAAATCAAATGTGCACTGGTTTTATAGAAGAAGAAGAAGAAGAAGAGATTGGATTTATAACCTGCCCTTCACTTGGAGTCTCAGAGCGACTTACAAACTCCTTTCCCTTCCCCTCCCCACAACAGACACTCTGTGAGGTGGGTGGGGCTGAGAGAGCTCTGACACAAACTGCTCTTTTTCAAGGACAGCTGTGCCAGAGCTTGTGGCTGACCCAAGGTCACATCAGCAGGTGCAAGTGGAAGAGTGGGGAATCAAACCCGGTTCTCCCAGATTAGAGTCCGTGCACTTAACCACTACACCAGACTGGCTCTCCTTATAATGATTCTTGTCCTAGCTTCCTGCCAAAGATCCCTGGGACTTAAGCTGCATCCACACAGGGCTGGATACTGAGCTGTCGTTGTGCTATAAGTAATCGTTTGACTGGACTGCTTTCTCCACAAAGGAAAATACACTTGAGAACTGATTGTCGTAGGGCACCAACAGCTCAGTATGCAGCTATGTGTGAATGCAGCTGCGGAGTCTCCTGACGCGCTGAGAATTCTCCATGAGAAATCCTTATTACCACCACCCTCATCAAGGTACTATTTCAGAAGGCTTCCACCCTGCTTGTCTGCTGTTTTTCAAGAGTAGAAAGCCCCGGGAAGCCGGAATGACTACCAATTCAGGACCACTGAATGTGCTGATTTGCGAGGAAACATTCTAAGATGTCAAACAGAAATAAAGTACAGCCAGTCAAATTCAGAGAAGCCTTTCTTCACAGAAGTAAACACTGTGAAAGTTTTTTAAAAACCCATTCTGGTAAAGGGGATTTGCAGGACTCAATTGAGCGAGGAGGGAGATTTCAAGAACCATTAGACTGACAGGCATTCTTCTCCAGGGGAGTGATAGGAGACCCGTGCCTTGAACCATTTACAGCCCATCTAAAGAAAACCTGAGAAAGTATTATGGGAAGAGCTTTTCTGGACAGCCTTTAATATCGAGACCTCAAAGCATCTTTCAAGACTCACCAAAAAAGGGGGGGGGAAAGCAAAAACAAACTTAGACACAAAAAGAGCCGACAGGTTTTGCACTTACTTGTTGCCTCATCCCAGGCCTTTCTGTATATGTGACATCTGTATATGTGACGTCCCCACTCTGCCATAAAGCTCAGTGAGTGCCCTTGGGCCAGCCCCACACTCTCAGCCTAACCTACATCACAGGGTTGTTGCAGTCCAAATGCAGGGCTATTTTGGGGCAGGAACGCACAGGAACGGAGTTCCGTCTGGCTCCCGAGTTGGCCACGCCCAGCAGGAGCTAATTAGCATAATAGGCCACACCCAACAGCAGAAACTCATTAGGATTGGCTACATTAAGGGTGTGTGGCCTAACATGCAAAGGAGTTCCTGCTACAAAAAAAGGCCCTGGGTTTTGACAACAAACAAGGTAAACAGAATAAGAAGCAAAAGGTGGGTGTGGCTGGATGACCACACTTCTGGTAACATGGGGGTGCAGCCTAATGTGCTAATGAGCTGTGCTGTCAGGGGTGTGGCCTAATATGCTAATGAGTTTATGCTGTTGGGTGTGGCCTATTATGCTAATGAGTTCCTGCTGGGTTTTTTCTACAAAAAGAGCCCTGTAAATGTAAGAACAAACTGTTGTTATGAGGATAAAATGGGGAAGAGAGAACTACAGTCTATCTGGCATTCACCAAATTCTGCACTTCTTCTATAACAGCTCCCAGGCTGAGATGAGTGGCTGCCATTTCTAAATGTATTTAGGAAGTTTTGTGAGGCCATTATATTTGCCAGGGCTTTTCATCGGTAGAGGCATTCAGGGCGGTTGTTTTGGATTTATTATACACCATATTTTGAAAATTTGGATTTGGAAGCTGCATTGGGTAAAGGCAGGACATAAATATTTCAATAAATAAATAATGCATGAATAAAACGTCTGCCATTTGGAGCATGTTGGAGGAAATTGGGGTGAAAATAAGAGATAGAGATCCTGTAAGATTACACCTGGGTAAGATGTCTGCATTGGGAAGGGAGAAGAGGAAAGAGGAATGGGGTCATACAGTCAACAAGTGCCAAAAGGCCCACCCTCAAAATGGTGATGACACCCTTGATACAGGTATTTTTTAAGGTATTACAGGATGATGGTGTTACCACAAAGGGGGAACTTCACAGAATATTTTAGGAACTCCTCATAATGTGCCTCC